ACTTGTGAAACATAAAAATAAAGATCTTCTTGTGTAATAAGAATTTATTCGTTAAATGTTAAAGAAAATTGTTCAATGTTTCCAGCGAATATTGAACACTACTCGAGAAATGGATTTTTAATTAAACGTTCTGAAATAACATCTGTTTTATCGTTGAAGTTTTGTTACACAGATTCTTGAAACATCGATTTCATAAGTGAAAAGTGAACAACTTCGCTGTACAAAAATTCTCTCTACAAAAACGAGATGCTTTTTTGCACGAAGTATACAGATACGAACAGAATATGCTTGAGATTCCCTTTGTAAACGATTTAGGTACAAAAATTTCTTTTATCGACGCTTTGCCGACTTCGACGTCAATCTTACGATCCTCGTCGCTCAGTTTCGTACAGCTTTCACGAACGTTTTATCATCTAATTTTTTTTTCTTTTTTTTTTTAGATATCTACAGGATATCCTGTATGTCTATAAAAGGACGATGTTTTTTCATTACGTGCCGAGCGATACACGGCATCAAACCGTGGATTATCTTTTCGCTGTCGGTGTCGAGATCCGTTCGCGTCAATCGTTAATTTTCAGGGCGTAACACTATTTTTTCAATTTCGACTCGATTATTACACGACGCTGTTCCCTGTCAATTAAGACGGCTTTTTTGCAATGTTTTTTCTTTTTTTTTTTCTTTTTTTTTTTATTCGAGCCTGGCTGACAGCTTATAGCCGGGGCACAATAAATTACGCGATTCGAAGATTAGCCGAATCGGCGTTGCGCAACGTTCGCGCGACGTGCAATAATTCACATTGCATTAATCAAATTTCACACTGCAGTTGTACTCGGTGTGTATAATGTTATTAGCTAAAATTTAGTGGGACGATGTCTGACGTCGATCATTTCGATTTTTCGATTATTTTCGTAGGCTTAAATTGTATTAATAACAACAACAATAATAATAATAATAATTAGGTAGATTTAATAATAATTTTTATAGCTTTGGAGATGATGGCACGCGTTGATTTGATCTAAATAGTGGATCAAAAAGAAGAATGCTTGATCTTCTTGCAGCATTAGCAAAATCTGTTCTCGTGAATAGTTTACTAATAATGAGTAAATAATACAAAATATAAAAATAAAGATTTTTCTGTGTATAATAAAAATTCGAGCTTGTCCTTTTTTCAACATTTGTAGCAAATACTGAACAACTATTCAACGAACAGTACTATATATTGACATAAGAGAATTTTTCTTTTTTTTTGCAATTCTACCATGCAGTTGAATATAAAATATTCTTAATTGTTTAAAGACAAGCGTCTTTTTCTAACCTTTCCTTGGTGCGATATCATTCGATAACATTCCAGTATTTACAAAAGAATAATTCGTAATTTTCCCAATAACAATTCGCCATTAAACGCAGATTATTGCATTGGAATTACAAACGTGTCAATATCTTCTCGAATTCTTATACTTTATTATAAATTTTTACTCTTGCATTATTATTAATACAACTCATTATTGGGAATCGCTACTGTGCACGTTATTTTTGTATCTATTTTTGGAAATAGATGTCACTGATGCGTATATTATTCGTTTTCACAAAGATAATGCTGTTTTCCAAAAGCTGTTTTCACTCGCTGTACATACGTAGGGTGATTCACGTAAGATAATTTTCAAGTTATGCGTCTGACGAAAAATTGTCCAATACAAAAGTTGTATGGTCTCAAGGGCGTTTCGAAATTTCCAAAATCATCCTTATCTCTTTTCAATTGGATCATAAGTTTTTCCCCATAAATCGGACGTGAATAACTACCTGTGTGTAACTATATAAAATTTGGCAAAAGCTGTACAGACCTTGCTGTCGAGTGATCAATATCGCTTTCGATTCTCTTCGAACTTTTACATTTCAATCTTCGCGCAATCACTCTAGCAAGCGAAGTGGATTTGCAACTTTCCTTTTCCAAACAATCAAATTTCTCACGTGAAAGTGAGAAAAATCCTGTCTCGGTGACCTGCACGCTCGGAAACGATCGGATCGAGAGTGGACCGATTGACGCGCTGTGTCATCCAATTACGCGATCGCGTTGTAAATATTTGATCACGGAAGCCGCACGCGCGTACACGCAGATTGCACGGCGCGGCTACTTAATAAACGTAGTTTGTCGAGCTGTTCCAGCTCGAGGTCACGTCACGGTCGCGAAATAGAAGCGAAACGATAACCTAATTGCTTGTAACCGGTAGCTCGCGAGCTCCAGGAGATCGAGCGTTGTTACAACGGTAACGTTCGAGGACGTTCACAAAGTGAATCGATTCATCCCCGTGGTTACATTCTTCCCTGTTCGCGCCGCTTTTCATCGTCAACGCTCGCCAAAGGGGAAATATCACTCGCCCTTATACGTTCCATGCTCTCCTCCTTTCCTTTCCACCTTTTCCACACCCGGGAGTTTTAGAATAAATTCAAATGCGTCGTCGTCGTCTCCTCCACGACTTCTTCCTTCCGCCTTACCTATTCCCGTTGGGAACTACGAAATGAATTGTAGCCGCCAGTATCGACCTCCCTTCCACCGTTGACAGTAATTTGATGCACAACCTTCAACCACCCGGACGGTAACGAAATTGATGATAAAATGCGGCCGCGTAAACGATATTAAGTGAAATTGCCAGCGGTCCACCGCCGTGTTGTTGTCGCTGGCCGCCGAGTCTGCAGTTTCGTGATTAACGGAACCGAGTAGAAGAAACAGAAACGAGATCGTTGGTGTTCTAGTTAAGGGGCAAAATAGGGGACGAAGGAGCACGACGACTCGGAAGTATCGTAGGAAACCAACGTTCCACGGACTTGCCTTGATAACAGGGAAAGTTGAGTACCTCCTTCCCCCTGTTGATCGCGTCTCTACTCGGCTCTCCGACAACTACCCCAGAAGTGGAATGTGGTTTCCCGCGAACCTTCCAGTTAAAAATCCTTTTAATTAAAATCCCGCTGCTAATACCCTGCGGATTGGGCTCGCCGGCTGGTTTGAGAGGCCACGCAAGAATTACTAATTGACACATGTGGCCGTATATATATATATATGTGTGTGTGTTGTCTGAAGTTAGCTGTTTCAATTTATTGTTCGTAGTATGTAGCCGTTCCGCTGGATTTGAGCGTATTGGATGTATTGTTGGTTTTTAACACGTTCCGTACCAAGCGATTTTTGCCTTTTGTTGTCGTTC